GTTCTCGACAGAGCTGAGGGAAGCAAGCGGTCTTCCACAGCTTTAAGAACTAGATTGGCCCATAAAAGTTACTGAAGGGCTTCTTCATCAGGGACTCCCTCATGTCGTCATACAAACAGCATAAAAACATGGTCTCTAAGGCTAGTTGGTTGCCATAAATAAGGGACTGAGCGATTCACAAATGCAATTGCACGGGCTTTCCTCCCCAGGGACCAGGATCCATTGGCTCAATAAGATCCAAATGAAGACTAGATGCTCTGTGGGAGTAATGGGCTCGTCAGTTGGCTTTTTAGAGAACAACTCAATGATTTTTGTATAAGAGCTAGCACCCTTTAATCTTGTTCTCTAGGTCAACAGAAAGGGTGACGTAAGAGTCATGCCTTTTAGGGATAGTGTAAAAATTCTCCTCCTCGATGATCAGTAGCTCCAAATACATAAACACATCCCACATCATAATCGACATAGGGCTCAACTCAAAGATGAAGGCGTTACATCCGAGTGGGCAAGAACTTAGAACGGCTAGCAGGAGATTGACTGGGATGTCAACGTTGGCCAATGAAAGTTGGATTAGGTCATAAATACCTATCTCTTTTCACTATTGCTCGTAGGTCTGTCTCAAGCACTTCACCTAGTTGGACTAAGCGTGGGGAGCCAGGGCTAGTTTTGAAGCTTCTGACAAGACAATTCAATGAAGGCTAAAGTCATTCGGGTTAAAATTAGGTTGTGGATTGAGGTTAGTGGTCGTGGATTTGGCTGGGTGGGAGCGGTCACTATAGAGAGGTCAAGAGAGATGGTCAAATACTCAATGTCACTCTTGTTAGCAATTTGAAAGCTTTAGGGAGAGGTACTAGAAAGTTAGAAAACAGTTAGTATTTTTATCCTAAAAACATAAAGACCAAATAAAAAGTGAGAAGCATACTAAAAGGCAACAGTCATGGAAAGATGAATCCTCCTAAAACAGAAATAGAAAGGCATCAGATTAAGAGCCTAATCCAGAGAAAATATGAGTTCAACAAAATACGTCTCGTCATCAATCCTCCTAGTAAAGCAATGAGATTCCAGATTGTGACTAGAGAGTTAGGTAAAATTTCAATAAAAGCATTAAAGAGAGCAGCAATAGAAGTGGTGGCAGTAGAAGAGGAAGCTATTGTTAAGCAAAGGAAAGAATGAAGAGAGGAAAGCAAAACTTTAAACAACAAGAAACGGCAAGAAGGGCAAGGGGAACGACAAAAAAAAAGAAGTAAGTTTAAATTAATAAAGGGCGCTCAGAGATGAAGCGACATTTTAGTTTTTTCAAATGTGCCATGTGGCCTACGTTATCAGCCATTAGCAAGCAGGGGTATTATTTGGGCTAAATGTGAAACGTTGCTTACTAAAGCATTGGGTAGGTCATAAAGCCATATGGACTAAGTAATTGAGGAGTCAGGCCCAATTAAAAATCTAAATAAAGGGGCTAGCCTCGAGCTTAATGGAAAGTTACGATAGGATGAGCATATCGAAATCCCACCAGTTGCAAACCCTAGACCATTGGTACATAAAGACATGATCTCAAATGATCCTGTATCTCACGAGAGTAGCATCATCTTGCCCAAATATCTCGGTGAGACGGGATGGTTACAAAAAATGGGAGATAGTGAGTAAAGACTATGCTTTAAGTCTCGTGGGATTCTTGATTCTTCAAAGGAACATTTTAGGTTCTAAGGGAGAGGCTGCCATTACTCTGTCACTATAAATAGAGTACTAAAGCATAGAAGAAGATAATAGTCAACACTTAAAAGACTCGTATTTTATACCAATAATTTTTAGGTTTATCAATTAGCTTAACCACCAATTTAGACTTGTAATCGTTTTATACTTCAGTAATAATCAAAAATACTTATTCTACCAAGTCTTACGTATCTTTTACATTCGAGTAAACTATTGTAAGGGAGATCGAGACCTTTTTATTATCAATTAAGACTCAGTGTCACTAGCATACTTGGTAATTTGTTGTTCACAGATGAACAGTCATAATAGGTGAAACCAGCCTTAAGCAGAAAAATTTTGTGTTTAGTGTGTTATTGTGTGGTTAAATGCTCAATCAAGTGTATATTAATAGTATATGTTTTGAGTTTTAGGTACTTGGATACTTGAAAATCATTTTAAAATCTCACTTTTGCATCTGGGTGTTTAAATTTCACATATGACATCATATCGTAATGAAACTTATACCATACTTAGCTTATCGAATAAGTTTCCCATGGGCACTTAAATCACTTCAATCGGATGTTAGATGCAAAAATGGCACATATCAGAAGTTCGCCTAAAAAGTTGTCATGATAACAAAAATGTTGTTTGACATGTACACTGCAGCATAAATTGTGCTATGGGTATGGCAACCAAATTGAGCTTTCTATGCTATATGCTGCGGTCATATGTCGTGGTCACATGCCACGGCATAATTACCAGATTGCACAAAAATGACATTTTGGCTTTATTTTCAAGTGTTTTGCTTCCCAAACTTTTTCATGCTTCTCATATCTTTATAAATCATTAAGTTTAAGCTCAAACTACCTATTTGGATGGTTTTCATAGGATCCCAAGTATTTCAAATTATTGTAATTATTTGCTTTAATCCTTCTGTATTTACTGTGAGTTTAGGAGTAATCTATATCTCCTAATTGTCATTATTTATTGTGATTGTGTAGTGAATATTGATAATGTTAAGAAGGACATTACACCATGTTTTATTATAAATTTTTTATAATTTTAAATTTATTTAAAATTTAATTGTTCTAACCTTCTGGTTTTTTTTTTTCACGTTCTTTTATCAGTGCCTCTGTTACTCTAACATTCATCTCATTTCTCATCCTCATCTTTGACCAATTGAAAAATAAAGTTTAGTTTATCATTTTCAAAATTTTATTTCTACTCCAAATATTAGCCCATCTATTTTCTACCTTTAAAATTTTTTAATTACTTAAATAATGAATTTTAAATATAAAATTTTAAATTAAAATAAATTTAAATCTATACAAACGTTTACCTAACAAAAAAATTATTGATTTATCATTTCACCTTACATTTATCCTGTTGCATACTTTTTACGTGACCACATGATTATATATAATAAAAAAGGACAAACAAAGAAAAGAAGAGAAAATAAAAGCAGCGTAAAAACAAGCGAGAATCACATTGCAGGTTGGAAAAAAAAAAATTTACACTGCAGGCTCAGTATATTTTGTTATTATATTATAAACCCAAGGGCTCTTATTGTAATTTTTTTAGGAGTGAAAGTATAATTTTGTCCTTATGTAATTTGAAAACTCAGATCATGCATAATACAATATCCATGGATATACAACACAATATCCATGCATGGCTAATTGATTAGTAAGTTTAATAAAATGTACAAGTGACATACACAATATGTAACACAACGTTTATGGATACACAATACAATGTCCACGAATGCACAACACAATATTCATACATTCTCAACTAAATATCCATTTATGGACGCCCATAAACATTGTATTGATAATTCATGCACATCATCTTGTGTATTCATGAATATTATATTATACATGCTTTATGTGACTTTATTTTAATTAATTTATAGATCAACTGGAAATACATAGACATTGTGTTGAGAATTTATGAACATCATATTGTGCTTTCAAGTACATTGTGTTGTCCATACTCTATGTGATGTATATTTTAACCAACAGATTAATTAAACATGCATAGACATCTTGTTGTGCATTCATGGATATTATGTTGTATATGTTCTGAGTTTTTAAATTATATAAGAGCAAAATTGTACTTTTGCTTCCAAGAAGATTGCAATAAGGGCTTTGGATCTGCTGTACAATATCATAATGTATTAGATTCAAAGTGAAATTTTTTACTATTTTAAAGCCTATAGTCCCTAAAAATAATGTAAGTTGGTGTTGGTGGGCCATTGCTCATCAATCATCACCCCATGAACTGATAAAAGTACGTGAATCTTTTGAAAAAAAAAGGTAATTTAATCAAAATTTAAATAAATTTGAAAAATTTTATAACTTAGTTTCACATTTTAAAAAGAAAAAAAATCCATTCATCAATTTTTATAAATTTGTCAGATTCTATTTTTTTTAATATTTTTAATTTTTATAACTTGAAAAAAGGAAAAATGATAAAAAATTTATTTAAATGATGTAAATGACAGATTAATCTTATAAAATGGCATAATTTTTTTAGAGTCCTAAGGAATATTTCTGTCATTAGGAAATTATAAGAAATGACATTTTTTACCTTTATTCATATTAAAAAAATTCACAACTTTTCATTCACAACTTTTATTTCTAAATTTGCAACAATTTAATAGCTATTTCCAAGTCCTGACCTACAAGTCCTGATATGTATTAGGTATTGAAAATTTGTAACTTTTCATTCACTACTTTTGTTCCTATATTAATAACTTTTGTTTTTAAATTCACAACAATTTAATAGTCATTCGCAACTCCACATCTACAGGTTTTGATATACATCAGGTGTTGAAAATGCGTAACTTTTCATTTACAACTTTTATTTTTATACCAACAATTTTTATTTTTAAATTTGCAATAATTCAATAGTCATTCGCAACTCCGCATATGCAAGTCCTGATATGCATCAGGTGTTGAAAATTTGTAACTTTTTATTTACAACTTTTATTCCTATATTAACAACTTTTATTTCTAAATTCACAATAATTCAATAGTTATCCGTAACTCTAGGAATTTTTATTTTATTTGAGAGCAATTTAATTTTTTTTTAATTTTCTAATGACAAAAAAAATTCGTGAGACTCTAGAGAAATTATATTATTTCTTGAACCAATCTATCATTTATATAATTTAAATAAATTTTTCTATCATTTTTTTTTGAAAAATTGAGTACCGTTTGTTTTTTTAAATTCTGTAATTTTAATTTTTCTTTTCATATGAAAAAATTGAATTAAGTAAATTGACTTGCTAGGTTTTGCTCTCGCGCGCGCACGGCTCCTGACCAAACGCTTCTCTCGCCTCTGCGCAACTGTGCCTTTGCTTCACGCCTTCTCGTCCGTTTTCTTCTCCTTCTTTCTTCGGCAACGGCAACGGCGAACGTATTCTCTGCTCGGAAAACAGCGACGGTCGACGCTTACGGCCTCGCGCTCAGTAGTTAAGGCTCGCGTCGAAAACCTTTCCATTCTCTGGATCTGATCGTCCTCTCCTCGCTCGCGTCGCACGCCCGCCGAAAGATCTTCATTCTTCCAGTCTTGTCCTTCTTCTTCTGTTCTTTCTTCGCTTGAGCTCAGGTCCAGATTCCAGACTCACCTCCTGACCTCCACCATCTGTGAACCTTGCATTCCTGTAAGTTGGGTCTTCGTTATTTTATAATTTTTTCGATTTTATCTGAAGTTATAATCGATTTTATCTGCTGGGAATTTTTTGGTTCATTTGGTGCTTTTTGTTCAACTTGTCTGCTGCTGTTGATTCATTTCGTGCACCTTGTTCAACTTCAACTTGTCTAATGCTGCTGAAATTTTAATTTTTAACTCTATTGAAATCTGCTGGTGCTGAAATGTTTTCTTTTCATGCTCTTTAACTTGTCTAGTTTAGTGGCTAATCGATTTTACTTGTGTGCCCCATTGCGTGCAGTAAAAAATGTCTTCTTGTCAAAAGAAACATATTGAAATTGGGGGTTCTAGTAGTGAAAATGTGGATACTACTAGTAATTTGGTGAATGATAATTTGCATGCAAATAACGTGGGTAATGCTGTGTCTTCTGCATCTACATCTCAAAAGAATAAGGAAAAATCAGTTTGTCCTGTAAGTTCTGGTAAAAGAACAACTTCTGAACAAGAAGGGGAGCAACTTACTTCTTTTAGCTAAAAAAGTCAAAACTTGCACGTCTGATGTTTGGAAGTCTTTTTCTAAAGTTATAGTTGATGGGAAAACAAAGACTACATATAACGGTTGCAATGAAGATTTGGCAGGATCTAGGGCTAATGGCACATATCATCTAGCACGGCATGCTAAAAATTGTCCACAACTAGCTAAGTATCATGATATTGGGTTAATGATGAAGAATAAAGAAGGAAAATTAAGGTCTGGGAAACTTGATGAAAAGGAGGTCGAGAGTCTGTCTTTGATGATAATTTAACATGATTTACTTTATTACATTGTTGAATATAAATGGTTTAAGCACTATTCTATAGTCTTGAATCATAGTATGAAATGCATTACTAGAAAAATAGCAGTTAGTGATCATGAAAGTCTATCATGGGCACAAAGAAGCCTTGAAACAAAAATTGTTAAATAGTGTTGGAAGAATTTCTTTGACATCTGATTGTTGAACTAATGTGATCTCTAAAGGTTATTCATGTTTGACTGCTCATTTTGTTGATGAATGTTGAACATTAAATAGTAAAATACTTTCTTTTTGTCATATGGAACCTCCACATTTTAAGGTAGAATCGGCTAGAAAAGTGTATGATTGTTTGGTGGAATGGGGGATGAATAAAAAAGTATTTTTTATCACTTTAGACAAGGTCTCTGCAAATGAGAAAATGCAGGAGAAATTGAAAGAGAGACTAGCTTTGCAAGTCAATGCAAGCTTGATTTGTAGGCTTCTTTGTAATGATGTACTATTAAACTCTCACTTCAAGTTGTTTGAACCTTTGTAGGCTTTATGAGCAGCATGACTTCGTTATTAAATTAAGTAATTAACTTTCCAAATTTTGCTATTAATAGTGATGTAATTTTTATGATTTATCACATGTATTTTACTATTTTAGAGTGTGTTTATATTGTTTGAAAAAAAAAAATTTAATTTTTAAATTAAAAATTGAAATTTGTTCAAAAAGAGATGGAAATATTAAGCCCAAAGCGCAAAAATGTTATAGTCAGGCTTGGTTATATGAGCTTTTCTATAAGCATGGGTATTTTGAGCTCAATCCAAATAAACTCGGCTCGAATTAAGCCCACTCTACTTGAATTACTGGCTCAAATAATGTCGGCTCAATGAATAAAAAGGGTTTGTGGGTTCAGCTCAATGAATAGTGATGGCTTATGTGTTGGGCTCAACGTTATTTTTTCAGATCAAGAAAAAACTCCCCCGGCATTCTTTCCAGTTTTAAATAAAAGCTGATAACAACCTCAAGCCATGTAAACATCAGTTCATACCTCAACTCTCATGCTCTATTTCCTCAAGAAGCAAAGCCAGGGGATGGAGATCTAAACCCTAGGGTTGCTCTGAGATCGTTCTTCCTTGTCAAGGTTGAAGAAGCAAATCTTTAGCCCTCTATTCTATTCTCTTTGCTGCCTCTGTCAAGCTCGCAAGTCTTGCCTCCTCCTTTGTTTTTGTTCACTACTGTTCAAATTCTGCAGCTGCTTCATTCCTTTCCTCCCCATGCCTCTGCCTCTGTGAGTGTTTCACACTAAACCCTCCTTTCTTCTCCATGGTTGGCTGGTTGCATCCCCCACCCCCAAAAAATATGCGACTGACCTCTACATTGGAGGTCTGAAATTGAGTGTTTCTGAGTTTGGCTCTTCTTCATCAACACACGGTCTCTAGCGGCTGTGATTATTCTGCTCTACTTATTTTATTTTTCTGTTTGGTTTGCACTGATATTGGGTTTTTTCTTTTTCCAGATTTACAAGCGCAGTCTTATATGTGAATAATTGAGAAATTCCATTGCCACCATTTGGTGAGTACTTCAACTTTGTATGATAGTTGAAGTGAATTTTGATTCATATTTTAACATTACAAGCAAACTGAATGAACTCGTTTATTTTCTTTTTCTTTTTTCTTCCAAGAAAACATCCACTATGGAATTGTCACTTTTTCACAGATCATTTGCTAGCTTTTTTAATGACAAAATTATGAAAGACTCTGATTTTGGATCACTAGAAATGCAGGTTGCATCATGAACATAATGCTTTCTACTATAACTTGAGTTTTGATTTATAATATATTCTTACCGAGCATTAAGATATATGCACTTGTAACCTTTACACTGTGATGTTTAACAGGCTTTGATGGATGGAGAACCACACCAAAGAAAAAAAATGCATGAGGGTTTGAATGATATGCTTGCTCTTTAGGATTTAGGTTCAGTTCAATTCTTTTATTTTACAACAACAGAATGGCGAAGGATTTCCATTTAATGATATATCAAGAAGAAAACGCCCTTGATTGAATGTAGGAGTGCTATGTTTTGCTTGTGCTTATCTGAATTCTTTCTGCTTGTTCCTTTTTAATGATTTATAAAGAATGCTCATATAAGTTGAAAATTATGAATAACTGTAAGGAGATTCAGGATATTTTAGGAAGGCAAAATGGAAAGAAGTATTGAATGTCTAGAGAGGGAAAATAAGTGAAAAAGAAACGTAAGTTTGAATTGTTAATACCACAAATAATTGCTGAAATATAGCGGTGAATGTTTTCCATGCACATTTGTGGAGGATGAATTGAAAACGCACCTATCTGCAGTGAAAATAGGCTTTTCATTTTCTAAACAATCTTAATTGGGGAATAAATTCAAATACAATTTCTGAAATACAAGTTTGTAATGGTTTGTGCATCTGTATATGTCACCTTTTGCTTTTTCTTGAATGTCTCCCTTGTGAAAGAGAATCTGAGTTTTCAATATTAATGAATGTTCTCGTGGTTGCAGGTTTTTGAATTATTGCGTGAACAGCTCTGGTACAGACCTAACCTGAAAAAGTGCATGAGCTCTTTCAAGCTATTGTTGATGAGGGTTTTGTGAAATCTAAAGGTCTTTTTGCTTGGAAGAAATTTGAAGGGGAAGCTTTCTCGGTCTTGGTCTTGGTCTTGTGCTTGGCTCACTCAAAATTGATTTGTTTTTAGTTATTAAAAAAAAAAATTATAAACCTCCAAAATATAGGCTCTGTGTCCAGGCTGAATAAACTGGTTTGAATTGAGTTGGGCTTGAATACTGCCGGCTGAATTACCAGCTGTAATGTAAATGCTCTTTGTCATCACAGTCGCAGCACGCTTGGCTGCCCTGTTTTACGGGTTGGGTTAAGTTGTGTTGGTTCTACCCATAGCCTGGATTTGCTGGCGTCCCTTCTCTTCCTGACCAAAACTAGGCAAAGCTAGGTAGATTGGGTTCTGAATCTGATTGTTTGAAGCTGCAGCGTCCATGGCAGTGTATTACTACCTCTACTTTTCTTTCTGAGCAGTTGACCACCTTCCTTTGCTACCAAAAATTGTTCATTTTTTCTGATTCTTGAATTGCCTTAGTTTATATTCTTCATCCAAGAGTTCGGTGCCTTTAATTTCATCTTGGAAGAAGATGGGGAGATTTGATAAGTACATATATTCCTTAAAATTTCGTTTTTCCTCATTGTGTGCTTTTGATTATATCTTCAGAAGTCAAGGTCCATCCCACAATGTAACTTTGCTTCAATCACCAACCATGTACTTCTCTAGATACTCTACTTATCACCATATGTTAATACAAGTGGCTTCTTGTTCCTGTATGCGCTTCATTAAATCTTCATTGCCCATGAATTTGTTTGTTACACATGGTATTTCTATGCGATTGTATTGTTCAGAAGCTATTCCTACGGATCGGAGTCTTGATTCTAGTAATGTTGAGGATCACCGCTTAGAAAGTGATATAGAAAAGATATACAGCACAATAATGGATAAATCCATTGGACATAACAACACGGAGAAAGCTCTTGACCGACTTGGAATACCATTGTCAACTCCTTTGGTTACTGGGATCTTGAAGAGGCTTCATTTTGAAGAAAAGATGGCATTTAGATTTTTCACATGGGCTGGCCATCAAGAGAATTATTCCCATGAGTTTTGTGCTTATAATGATATGATAGATATCCTATCTAGTACAAGATACAAAGTAAGACAGTTTCGAATAGTTTGTGACATGTTGGACTATATGAAGAGGCATAACAAGGACGTGGTCCCGGTTGAAGTTCTTTTGACTATTTTGAGAAAATACACTGAAAAATATCTAACTCATGTGCAGAAGTTTGCGAAGAAGAAGAGGATAAGAGTAAAAACTCAGCCAGAAATAAATGCATTTAACCTGCTATTGGATGCTCTTTGCAAGTGTAGCCTGGCTGAGGAAGCTGAAGGTCTCTTTAAGAAAGTGCAAAGCAAAATTAAGCCCAATGCAGATACATATAACATATTGTTTTTTGGCTGGTGCAGAGTTAGAAACCCAACTAGAGGAATGAAAGTGCTGGAAGACATGATCCAATGCGGTCATATACCTGACAATTTTACATACAATACTGCCATTGATACCTTCTGCAAAGAAGGCATGCTAAAAGAGGCTTTAGAACTTTTTGAGTTCATGAGAACAAAAGGTTCTACCATATCTTCTCCCACTGCCAAGACATATGCAATCATTATTGTTGCTCTTGTTCAAAATGATAGAATGGAGGATTGCTTTAAACTTCTGGAGTGTATGATTAGTAGTGGTTGCCTTCCTGATGTCTCAACATACAAGGATATAATTCAAGGAATGAGTTTGTTTGGAAAGATAGAATTAGCTTACAAATTTTTGGAGGAGATGGGAAACAAAGGTTATCCACCTGATATAGTAACTTACAATTGTTTTCTCAAGGTCCTTTGTGACAATAAGAAGTCTGATGAAGCACTTAGACTTTATGGAAACATGATTGATTTAGGCTGTCTTCCCAGTGTCCAGACTTATAATATGCTGACTTCAATGTTTTTTAAGATGGGTGATCCTGATGCAGCATTTGAGACTTGGCATGAAATGACCAAGAGGGGTTGTGCACCAGATAGAGATTCATACTGTGTGATGATTGATGGGTTGTTTAGGTACGATAAGGTGGAAGATGCTTGTTTTCTCTTGGAAGAAGTTATAAACAAGGGAATAAAATTGCCATTTAGGAAGTTTGATACTATTTTGATGCATCTTTCTGTAATTGGTAATCTCCAATTCATTCATAGGCTCTCAGATCATATGAGAAAATTCTACAATACTGCTTTGGCGAGACGATATGCGCTTGGTGAGAAACGCAAGAGTGCAAGTTTGCGAGGGAAATAATAACATGAAATTCCTTGTCTAGCTTGTGCCACCTGTTAGGGTAACTTGAATGGAAAGGAGTAAGGAGGTTTCTCCTTGTGATAGGTTAAAAAAAAAATTTGCTGGAAGCATAATTCCAGGCCTCAGAGTATGTCCTTGTACTAGTATCTTGACATAATGCCAATCAGTTGCTTCTTTGGAAGTGCTCTATTGGCCACTTTATTGCGGCAAATCATTTTATTCTTGGATGTATTTATTCTCATATATAGTGTGCCCTGAAAATTTTTTGGAATTGTTTTGGCATACTGTCACTGTGCAATCCTCATTTAGAAGGTCATGCGACCAAGAGGTGGAAGGAGTCATGCTAGTACTTTGTGGCCTCATGTTAGCAGAGCAAAGGTTGGACAGCTCTCATGTGCTGATCAGAAGGCAAAAAATAAAACTGTCTGCCTGTGTCTCCCTCGTCCCAAAAAAGAAAAAAAAAAAAGATTGTATGCTTAGTCTGGTTGCTGAAAAATTTTGAAAAGTGAGTTTATTGACTGCTACTTTTCCTTCACAAAAATGTGCATGAGTTTCAGTTGTGTAATATTCTTTCATATTTTGATACTTTTTCCATTTTAAAATAATCATTATTAATTAATACAAGTTAGGAAGCAACGTGATATCCAGATTGCTTGTGGGCTGTCAAAGATTTTCATATTCTTTTTGGGTTGATGCCTATAAATCTACCCTCTAAATAACAATCAATTTTTTTACAGATAGAAGTTCTTCTGGAGCAGTGTTGCAGTGTTTTCATACTCCAGAAGCAACCAAAGTGTCTCAACTCTACCTTATGTTTACAAAGGTAATTGGTCAACATTGCATTTGTGCCTTTTTCTAAAGCGTTTTTTATTTAACAAAAATATGAGTTAAGAACTTGCTGTACATCATCAGTACTTCTTTAATGGTTTAATCTCCAAATTGTTAGTTTTCAATTTGTGTTGGTTTAATCTCCAAATTGTTAGTTTTGAATTTGTGTTCTTGGCATAATGATGCTTTAGAATGAAGGAGATCGAGGATGTTTATGCATTGGTAATCAATTGGAGGAGTTCAATATTGCTGAATTTAACTCATGCATGGAAAGTACTACGTGTTGAACATTAATAATTGAATTTAAATTTCAATTGAACCCCTATAAATAATCATTAGAAATTGTACTCAGTGGTTGATATTATAAGCCAATATGTGTTGATGTTCCTTTCATACACTTGAGAAAAGAGAAGAATGAGGTGTGTCAATATTCAATATTACCATCAAATTGATTTTATACTGTTCAGCACGTAAGATTTTGCTTCTCTTTTCAACTGATGTCTTCTTATCCCTTGGAATCCGTTGCCATCAAATTGTCTTCTTCTTGGCCAATTTGTAGGGTGCATAACAACTTGTATAGGGTCTGAAGATTAGGCGCCACCCCATCTTTTCAAGTTCTATATGGTTTATTACCCTGCACAATAACTTTATTATGTATGGTTTTTGCTTTTGTTTCTGCCTTTCGTTGACACTGATTCATGTTTTACAATTGGGTGCCGCTCTTTTTATGGAGTAAAGCGAGGAGCTTATGGTGGAATTGAGTAATTGTCTCTTCTTTTTCAAGAAAATAATATTAACTCAAAGTTCCCTGCCCATCCCAAAGAAACCAAAGTGTTGTTTTTATTTTCTTGTTTTTGTTGGGGGTATATTCGCAAAAAACTTATATATTTAGTCTTATATATTTAATGTGCTTGTATTTGATTTGTGGATCTTTTATAGATTATTCATTTTATAATATACTCGTGTTATTAATTTTATTAACATATTAAGATTTACTTGTCATGATTTAGGTGGATATAAGTATATTAAATATATAACTTTAAGTACATAAGTTATACCTTATCTGCAAAAGCGATGTATTTTAAGGCATGCATTACATTTCTTTAGACCCTTTTGTGGTCTCAAAGGGGCCAACACGCATGGTGTGTGGCGTGTGTGAACTTTAAAGATAAAAAATATAAAATTGCTCTTTTTCTCTCAACTGAATTAATCTTTTGTTGCTGGGATATATGGGTTACATGTTGTAATGGGCTGTTTGGTTTGGATCGAAGAGAACCAAAATGGTCTTATCATTTTTCTTTAGAGCTTGTGTTGACAAAGACTTGTGTACAAGGTACAAACTCCGTAACACGAATAAAAGTAGCAGAAGAGGCAGCAACTGAGGTGGATGGTTCTGTCTGGAACAAAGGAAGCAGCTGATGTGGCGGTGTAATAAGAGACCAACAGGGGAGGTGGATATGTGGCGTCAGTGGTAAAATTAATTCAGTACCTCCAGTAATTGCTGAATTAATTGCTATTATACAGAGTTTGAAAATCTGTTGGCTGAGGGGTCTAAAGGATGTTACTGTTATCTTGGATTGTACAGAAGCAATTTCCTTAATCATGAAGGAATGCGATAATCAAGATCCTTTCATTGACATCATAGAGGAAGCTAGATACTTGTATCATCAAGATTGGCATGTGCTGTTAAAACACACACAGGGAGGAGAGTAACCTTGCTCGCCTGCTTGCAAATTACTCATGGCTGAGATGCTAATTTTGAAATCCTAGATCAACCACCATCTCTTTTGACAGGAGATGGAGGCTGATAAAGGGTTTTTGTTTTCTTTTTTTCAGACCTAAAGTAAGCTCCATTCTCGATCTTTTTAGGCTTGAAGGAAATGATATATGTCTTAAGAACTTTTTTGTAATTTCTCCCTTTTTGTTTTTTGGTTAATCTAAAGAAGCTCTTTTTAAAATTCAGTTCCTTGACTTTCTTCAGGGGCATTGTAAGTATAATAATATGATTTAGATACCTGTTTATGTCCTAGTGCATCGCATTGGGAGTAAATGTTAAATCAGGTTTAAGACGAGTATGGTTGTAGAGTTATTCAGATCCTCCTAGAGGTCTCATTGAGCGGATTTATTGAGATGTAAGGGGTCACTTTGACCCTAGTATTACTACTAGTGAAATAAAGTTTGGGCACTTTGGCCCCGTTGCTTACAACAAAAAAATGAAAAATGAAAAACATATTAAACAGACATTATTATCTCTAAAAGAAAGGGTTTATTGTTACATTCATTTGTAAAATAAAGATCGGCATTTCTAAACGAAAAACCAACTAATGGTGCATGAGGCCCATTATTTTAGGAATAATTCGACTAACTGCAATAATTTTTTAATTTTTTTATATTTTAATATTATCAATGGATAAAATTTTGAATCACTAATGAGAAAGAACTTATTCATAAATTTTGTTGTTTGATATTTTTATTATTTTATCTATTATTTAAAATGGACATGTCCTTTATTTTTTTTTTTTTTTTTCCGGAGATGAGTGGGAGTCAAAATTTACTTTGTTAAAAGACTCAGTTAAGAACGTGATTTGAAAATTTGATTAAATCTTTGAGCATTGGGATGAGCAAATATTGTTAATTGTTTTTTTATTTTCATGTTTACAAGCATTTTGAGTTACATTTGCATCATCATAATAAAAAAACTGTTCTTGCACATTTCAATTTTTCATCTAATTTATAATAATGTTATTATTTTCCCATATAACTCGTACAAGCACAGATGTAAATCTAATGTAATAATTTAATATTTTAATTAATCCAAGTAACTGTAAATCTAATGTAATTATTGCTCCATTGTTAATAACCGTAAAGCATGGATTTCCTATGTAATGCATGGGGGGTATAAACTAATTGTAATTAGCAAGTAAAAGAAGTTCAAAACAAAGCAAAGGATAGATATAGACAAGCTCAACGTTAGGAGCTACAACCAATCCATTTCAATTAATGGATTTAGCTAGCGCCTCATAATATAACAAACCAAACTTCAAATGCTTGATGGGAGAAATATTTATATTTAATATTTAATTGTGTTTCAGGCAGTGTTGCTTCTAATAGAAGTACACTTGTGAGAGTAATAAAAAATAAACAATTTATTTTATTCTATAAACAACAAATTATTCTATTCCCACATTAATTATTTTAAAATTTGTTGCCCACGTTCGTTAAAAATATAAAAAACAGTTTGTCATTTCAAGATGTGTTATTGTCGCATAAATTAAACTTTACAATACTATCGTTGTTTAAAATTTATTATCCAGTGCATATAAAAAATATTAACAATAACTTGTTTAATTTTAGAATTTTTTACCATATACATATTAAAAATATAAATAAAAAATTATTTTATTTTTTTATACTCACAAGTGTTTTATTGAAGACAATTTTCTTTAACCAACTAAAGTTAATGTGAGTGATAAAGCCTCTCGTCACTTAAGCAAGTGGTTGGAGGTTTAATTTCTAACTTTTACATATATAGTAATTTAGTTGTGAGAGGTAAAACAATCTGTTCAAAGCATGGTCGAGTATTAAATGTAAATACCACAGTTAGGATCTAAATATTAGTTTACCATATTGTGAGAGATCAGCTACTTTTGCTAGAACTATCTACGGTTGGTTAAAAAATTATTTTATTGAAAAAATCATTCACTATATGCACATTAACATTTATATAATAATTGTTATATTTTATCATATTTTTTAGTCTTGAATGTGTGTATTGAAAAGTTAAAGTAAGTGAATTCTCAAAATGTTTCTCCTTGAAGAAGCTTTACATTACTTCATGATTTTAGAAGGGTATCTTTGTTTCGCTTGATCTTGTCATTGATAAACTCAAACGGCAAGTTGGAAATGGAGCCTCTATTCTAATCACTCATAAACTTTGGTAGTCTTCTTTTAACCCTTCTACTACCAAAACCCTTTATCTCTCCACAATAGCTAATTTGGTAGGTTAGATTTGTGGGTCTCAACTCAGTTGGAATATTCCTTTATTAAGGAATTTGTATGACCTGAATTTAGTTCAACAAATCATTAAAACTCCAATATGTTTCTATAACTCATCAGTTAAAATTTGGAATTTTGGCACTCAACAATTCAGCAACGGATTAGCTTTCTTAATAGGCATGCAAGGGATTCACATCTTGCAAGGGAAAGTATTGGGAGTTTGTTTATAAAACTCTACTTTTCATCTAGCAATTAGTATACAAGACAATCCCTGCAAGTGATATTCTTTTAGCCCATTATTCCTGCCTCAATTATGTGTCCTTTTGGATATGACTTACAAGACTCCTTGCTTCATACATTTTGTGAATGTCTTTTTGTTATAGTTGTTTGGTTTGGCTTTCTGAGAATTTGTTTAGAAGAAATTTATTATCAGTGTTTGATTCACCAGTTTCTAAGAGTTTTAGATAAATTATAGAGAGGCAATGATCTTTTCATGATTGAGGAAATTTTCTCCTTTCTACACTTCATATGGATGAGAAGGAATCAAGCCTTACACAAGGGGAAACTTCTAATCCCGCATCAAATAATAAGGAATTTTTTAAGGACATATCAAATTTCTCACATCTGCTTGTACTTGGACTACTTCCTCAGATTTATGTAAACGCAGAAACAAGGCAATTCGACCATGATACTACAGCAACAAAAATTATTTACCACTATGCTATATTTTTAAAAATATTTTTTCAAATACTACAAATTTTAAAACATGGCTTCAATGACACCAAGTTTCATTTTTTTTTTAATGCGCAGCAGTACAGAACTTGGCTTCTACCAAGCCAAGTTTTGTACAATTTTTTTTTTCCTCGGAAAAGTATAGAATTTGGCTTCTATCAAGCCAAGTTCTGTACTTATATTTAAATAAAAAAATAAAAAATTGATGTGACATGTATGGTAAATTATATTTTATGTTTATTATGACTCTATCTCAATACATGATTGTATTCCATAATTTCTCTTCTCTTTCTCTCTTATCACTAAAGCCGGTAATTTGGGACATTTCAACCTGAACCCACCTAAAAAATTTAAGATCGGGCTTGAAAAAAATATAGTTTTTTATGTTCGTGTCTATTAGTCCAAATACCATAATAAAAAAATTATATTTTTTAAATATATAAAATATAATTAAATATTAATTAATTTTTAAGTTTTAGGTTATTTTATACAAATACTATATATTTGAGTACTATACATTATTTACGTATTAAAAAATATATTTTATATTTTTTATAAAATAAAAAATATTATTAATTACACCCATAATTAAGAGTATTATTTTATTTCTATTTATAAATCCCTCCTAACATTTTGATCAAAATCAAGGGAAAAAAACTTACAAACCTCATTAATTTTAAGATGATTAATTGATATTTAATTATATTTTATTGTTCGGGTATTTGAGCGAAATATCTTAATTATTTTAAATTTTATTGTTTGAGTATTTAATTAATTTTTTTTTAGGAAGTCTTAGCTCTCTTTCGGCCTGTGCAAGTAGTGCTGAATATGAAAGGAAGCCTCCGGTAAGTGCAACACCCACGTAAACACCAAAAGAAGGCAGTGCAAGACTAAACCACAAGTTTCCAAAAACAAAGGAAGTAAATATCTTAATTGCCTTAAAACTAATGAGATTTGTAAGTTTTTTTCTTGATTTTGATGAAAATGTTAGGAGTTATTTATAAATAAAAATAGAATAATACTCTTAATTATGGGTGTACTTAATAATGTTTTTTATTTTATAAAAATATAAAATATATTTTTTTGATGCTTAAGTGATGTATAGAACTCAAATATATAATATTTTAGTATAGAATAACCTAAAACTTAAAAAATTAATTAATATTTAATTATATTTTATATATTTTAAAAATAAGTTTTTTTATTCAGGTATTTGGGCTAATAGGCAAGAACATAAAAAAAAAACTATATTTTTTTCAAGCTCAGCCCTAAAATTTTTTGGACAGGTTCATGTTAACTTGTCGACCTTTGCCCAAATTATCGGCTTTAGTGACAAGGGAGAAAGGGAAAAAAAATTATAGAGTACAATCATATATTGAAGTAGAGTTATAATAGACATAACCTGCCACACATATCACATCACTTTTTTATTCTTTTATTTAAATATAAGTACAAAACTTGGCTTGATAGAAGCCAAGTTCTATACTTTTCTTAAAAAAAAAAAAATCATATGGAACTTGGCTTGATAAAAGCCAAGTTCTGTACTGTTATGCATTAAAAAAAAAAAATTGGAACTCAATGCCATTGAAGCCAAGTTTTAAAATTTGTAGTATTTGAAAAAATATTTTTAAAAATAGAGCATATTGATAATTTTTTTTTAGTAGTATTATGGTCAAATTGCCCAGAAACAATAATCATTTGGATAGTTCTTCTTCAAGAAAAGTCATCATGGGTTGCTACTAATAAGTTTATATAGATTGAACAAATGGTTTTTATCAAAATTTCAAAATTCAAAAGAGAGAACCTTAATTTTGTTGCAGCAATGCTCTATCTTGGAGAAGAAGAGTTGCAACGATTTCATATTACAAAATCCTCTACTTCTTCTTTGTGCCAATTTTTGATAGCATGTATGTCTTTATAGCATCTTGTAATGGGTGATAGGTACTGAAAATCAATCACTCACTTGAGGATTAAGGTTGGGAGGGTTGAAGATTTTCTTGCATAGTAAAACTTTTTTACTTTCACAATTTCATCAAGAGGAGAGTGTTATTTTATAGGATATTCAATATATGCTCTGCTCTTTCAATTTAATTTTGTTGGACCAAATTTGTCACTATTGGATTTCTCTCTCTCTCTCTCTCTCTCTCTCTCTCTCTCTCTCTCTCTCGTTTCTTTTTGTTTCTTTTTTTACTTTTGTTGACTTATGATTTGTAACTTTCATTAGCTTTAATTAATCGTTTCACCCTCCATATAAAAAAGTTAATGATTTTATTCTAAAATTTACTACCCCACGA